TGTCTTACTTTAGAGGGTTCAATTGTATTGTCATGTACTGTCATATGAGCCTTGCTTTGACAGAAATAATTAGAAAGTGAAGTTAGGAAAATTATTAGTAACTATTTAAGATTATTAACTATGAAACCAATGTTATTATATAGGTAATTGATATATAAATATTTAGCTCCTATTTTTCAGTGTAAAAACAACAGCTAAGGAGTATCACCCAGAATAACTAACAATTTAAAGCCCATGGTTATTATTTTCAACTTTGCTTACTATAATGCTCTAACTATGGACATTCGTATGTATGCAGAAACAAAAAGAGTAAGCACCATAAATATACCTCTTTGCTATAAATTGGTTGCCTGGAATTTTGGGAGAAATCAGTTTTGTATTGTGGCTCCTTTTGATCTATCTTCATAAGGAGAAGAGATTGACAACACTCTTAAAAGAAAACAGTAGTAAAACATTGAAAGGCATGTAGCAAAAACATATTAAAATAGGCAACCTCTTGCTCCCAAAAGGGCAATTCAAGCAAAGGTAGAAACTAAAAAAAAAAAAAGACTAAATCCAGTCAGAGTCTAAAATCATTTTGGTAATCTACTAAACTCCTTCATTTATTCATTAATATAGAATGCCACTCCCCCAATTTTTATCCCTAAAAAGTCAGTTCTTTCATACCTAGAATCTATACCACTGTATAACTTAGAATAGTGTTTATCTTTATACGAGGTAACCAAAATAAATATAGTATGTTTTCACAGTTCACAAACTGATAATTGTTTGTGCCTCAGTCAACAGAACTGATGGATTTCCATGAAATGAATAAGATAGATGAAATAATTAAATACATAAGGCCAGTGCCTATTAATTTAACTCCTATAAACACAAAACTTTAAAAGCAACATTTCAAATTACAATTTGAGCAAAGTGATTTTTTTAAAAATATATAAAAATAACTCTAAATTAGGAGAACCAAGTTAGCGTGATTGACACTCAATAACGTTCAACTTCACTAGAAAAAAAATTTCACCTCCTAATTTAGCTTCTCTGTAAAGCTGAAGCTAAAAAAAGGCTCCTCAAATGTTTTATTTACTGGCCAATTTCGAGCCGTCTGTACTCAGTCTGCGCAGTAACACGCTGATGCTAATAAGCCATACATAAAGATCCTACTTATTAAAATACAAATTAGGCACCCCTTATGTTTATACATGTGTAAGTACAATTAATATTGCAGGCTTAGTTGGAAACAAAATTGCTTAAGTTAACCAACCATTGCAATGTAATCAAATGAGATTTCAAATGCAATTGGAAAAGATCTGTTTGGCAGAAATAACAGCAATTATTTCATGCAGAACAATTCCTTGTCTAAGCTCTCTTTTTGCTTCTCCCACCTGCCCTTAATAATCTGTCCATCATAAGTGACATGAAATATCACCTTTAACACCCGTAAGTTGCATGGAGACCCGAAAGGCAGCTGGTAGATACAGCTTATTTACAAATATTGGTTTGAACTTGTAAATGCATGACCGCATAAATCTTCATCCATTTAGAGTGTATGCCCTTTGTTACCGCAATTGTACATTCAATTGGGAACTGAGTGGCGCCAAGGGAGAGTGTGAATTACACGAGCCTTTCCTTGTTGCCAGCATTTCAGTGCTTTGCCTTTTGTTCTTGTTGTTCCTGAGATTTCTCTACATTAAAGAGTAGGAAGTGTTAATCAACATTTTGCCTAAGTAATATTAATGAAATTTGCCTACTAATACTTGAGGGAAGAATCAGAACATCGTATCTTTTTGAAATGTTAATGTACCTTTTATGAAATCATTTCTGCCTTCTAAATCATCCCAGTGTTAAATTATTAAAGGGTGGCATTAAAGAACTATCGCACCGATGCAAATAGTTTTCTATCTTAAGAGATGAAAGGATTATAAAATTTAAAAAGAGGACATTTTGGAATACAGTAGCATTTAGCTCCAAATTAAACATTTTTAAATGTTTGGTTAAAGTACTTATAAAACTTGCAATTATTTTGTGTGCTCTCCTAAAATAAGGGGAAATTTAATGTTGATGATTAAATCTGATTTGTCTATGGCTTGGAATGATTTGTCTAACCGTGGTACATATAGGAATTGAAGTATCATCTGATTTTCCAGAAAGAAAAAAAAAAAAGAAAAAAGTGTGTCGCATTTTTGCAATATTTGAATCTGAAGATTAGGCCATCTGAATTCACATTCTAGTCTTCAAACATAAAATAACTTACGGCGTTTCAAAGGGCTCTTGAAATAGGAAGGACTACTGTAAAGACCAGGTATGGCTGGCCTGGTAAGATATGGAAAATATCCATTCTCAGAGTACAAACTATGACCAACACATATTCTGTGAACATTGTTGACGGTCCTTCAAGAAGGGTACTCAGGAAATGAGTTGACAGAGCTCTAAAGTGGACTAACCTGTTTTCCTTTTAACAATCTCTTTTTCTGTCAATCAATATGTTCATAGGGCCTAAATAAATTGTGAGGTAATCTAGGGGGAAATTAAGAACAGAATTTGTTCAAGAATTCTCTTACACGGTGGTCACTGTTTGCCAAGAACTCCTAACACTCACTGAGAAAACCACTTATTTTCTATTTAACTGTGTACAATTTAGTAATGGCTTCTGTGTCATTATGGGACCGATTCGTCTTCTTGCATGACTTACGCTAGCAGTGCCACTGTTTGGGGACAGGCACTGAGAAAGGAGACGACAGCGATGACATTTCAAGGTAAATTTTTTCACATTTTAACATCTGACAGATAAGAACACATCTTAACATTGCTTACGCATCATAATTTAATTGGCTTCTTTTTTTCCTTTCCTTAGCAATATATAAATGATTGGGTGCCTTACAAGGGATGATGGCTAGGATTCAGAAAAATATAACGGTTAACACACATCGAGAGTTTCTTGGTTCCTCTACACTGGCTGCCCATTACTTCTGCAAGGAGAATTACAGCATTGCCCAAATGTTGAATTAGTGTTAATGATTTTACGATATCAAGGAGTTTGCAATATATCTGGGCAAGAATCTCTTACAAACCGAAAGCGAGAACATAAGAGTTAAATAAAACAACACCAATGATATAAAGGCATTACTACAACCCTGCTTGCCAGTTTATTCTTTACCACATCATTTCTCCCTCGGAAGCTAAAAAAGACATGTAACTAATAGATGACTGAGAAAGATTACCAAATCCCTTTCATGCAAAGAAAAGTTTACGAACAGCAAGGGAATATATTACAAAAGCTGATCCGCGTGAACTTTATGTTTTTTTGAGTTCTCAGAATTAAAACTAACTCAGAATTTAAACCAAGACAACACCAGTTGTACCATACCAACTCTAAGCAGAATACGTGGTCTTGCTCTATACCTGTTATGCCTTTGCATTTCTTTTCCTATACCACCGCTGAGTTGGGAGGAAAAGAGCAATTTCCATTTAATATTAACTAACCAAGCAGATGTCTTTGGGGGCAAATTAGTGTGGCTGCTTTTTGTCTATTTGAGAAACAACAACAAAAAATTCAACCTTGCTGTCCTTTCATCTAAAAGAAACTAACAATGTTGTAAAGCCCTTCATTGGATAAGCTTAAAATCTGCCCTCAATACTCAAACTTATGTTTCTAACTTAATCACCATTTTTTTTCTTTATATATTATGGATGATGAATTGATCTTTGTGAACTTAGCTATGACAAATGATTATGGACTAAGCCCGTATCTACAGGACACGAACCTCAATTTTGTGTCCTCTGAAGCACAACTTTCTTCCCTTCAAATTTGAGACTTTTGTTTACAACATTCAAAACCAATTTAATAGTACAATAAAGCTGTCACCCATACCCTATTTTAAACATGCCCAAAATTAGTTACATGGAATTTTTCTATGATCAGAAACTATAGAGATTTTCACTATAAATGAAATAATTCAAATATGTAAGATAAATATTTTAACTATTATGGGCAAACTTTTTCACTGTACCCCTGGCTATAACAAGACAGATAGATCAATAGATAAGATGAGGTAAGTTGAAATACTGAATCCATTCATAGATGTATTAATAGATATACGGATAGATACACAGACATAGAGATAGAAAAAAAGACGATGAAAGGATGGATGAACACATGAAGAGAAGGAAATACAGATGAAAGATAAATAAGCAGACAAAACTGATTACAAGGAAAATTTCTGCTATCTGTATAATTAGCAAAAGTTTATCAAAAACATATATAGAAACGCTAATATCAACTGGAACTTCTGAAAGTAGACCACAGTAAAAGAAAGATTGCATCTAGCCAAAGTGGAACCAATGAAATTTTAGAAAGTTTAATTCATTCATTCTCACTTTAATCACACTGCCCACCACCAAGGTGACTGTAATATGCATATCATTCTCACACGCTCAAAGTTGTTAAAATGCATCTTGTTTGCCAACTAGTATATTCATATCTATAAATATGATTCAGACATTATAATGTAATTCTCTTTTAATATCATTAATTTTATAAATAACTTTGATTATAGGAGAACATTTCCAAAGACTTGTTTTAATATGGAACACAAGCAAGAACATCATGACTAACTTAATGGCCCTGATTACCCAAAAGCAATTTAAAAAAAAAAAAAAATTTTAACATTTATTTATTTTTGAGACAGAGAGAAAGCATGAACAGGGGAGGGTCAGAGAAAGAGGGAGACACAGAATCTGAAACAGGCTCCAGGCTCTGAGCTGTCAGCACAGAGCCCGACACGGGGCTCGAACCCACGGACCACGAGATCATGACCTGAGCCGAAGTCGGACGCTTAACCGACTGAGCCACCCAGGCGCCCCAAAAGCAAATTTTTTAAAGAAACAAAATATGGCTGTGTTTTGGTCTCATATCATCTTAAGATTCTATCACTCAAAAATCTTGATGTAATCATAACAATCAAGCACAAAAAGTTACTACTTAAGTGGTTAAAAAGGATCCTTACCGCAAAATCCTCTCTCCACTGGTGGGCTGCTTGAACCTTCTCTGCTTCCAAAGCCAAGCGCTGAAAAGGAAACATTGTATCTTAGAATTTGAATGATCACATGAATACACACTTGTGAATACACACAGTGCTGAGGTTTTCAAATCAATTATAAGGACGTAAAAAGCAAGAGAAACTCCTTATTTACGATGCATAACTCCTCAATCAGTAATCTAATCTACTAAAGTTGCTATGTGTATATTAACTCTTAAGTAATATAAATAACCTACTATTCTTGAATACCATTGCTTATTAGCTCTGCAGCAGTAGAAGATACGGGCACCCTGAGTGCTTTCTTTCAATGACTAACATTTCAGTTTTAGAAAAAGCTTGAATGAGTAGAGTATATTCATCTTGGTAGCACCCTGTCTTTAGTAAATACCTTAATAGCATGTATTTCTCTATAAATAGAAAGGAAATGACATTGAGAGATCAATAAATATGTACTATCTACTATAACTAGGCACGTTCTTAATAGTATATTAAGGTTTTTCTGTTTTTGTTTTTGTTTTTACAAAAAGCCATAAAAATATAATAGTTTCCTTCTGGAGGAAATACATTCTTCTTCTTTCAGAGATAACCTGTGAGTACCAAACTATCAGAATCTGCACATCATCTGAAAATGGCCTGATGTCACATTCGCTCTTGTATGTTAGCATAGTTAGAGAATTCTAGCCTGACTTTTACTTTAGCACGTTTAAAATGTTACTCTGTTAAAAGTTCAGCTGGAGATAACAAGTCTGTTTTCAGTCTGCTAATGACATTTTATAGATAAATTCTATTTTTTTCTTTCTCTAATAGTTTTCAGATTTTTCTCTTTGTATTTCTCAGTGTTACTATTATGCTTTCCATGTGATAAGATTTTACAAGAGACAGTGACATTTAGTGATGAAGAACACAGATCTGAAAGCTGACTGCCGAGGCTTAAACACCAACCTTGCTGCATTCTAGCTGGGCAAACCTGGGAAACGTTAAATCTCTTCTGGTTTCTCAGGTGAATAATGCCAAAGCTGGCCTCACGGACTGTTGAAAGGATTAAATGAGTTACTACATGTAAAGTGCTTCGAAAGGTGCCTGCCAGGCAGAAAGCAATGTAAATGTTAGCTATCTAGCTTTGAGGGTTAATTATGATTTCATTTTTATGCTGTCTCTTTGAAAAGATAACTTAACGTTGAGTTCACCCGTGGCCTGCCTCCAACAGCTAGAAGACAGTGGCAGAAATAGGAAGAGATTACCAGTAAATACAATAAATATAAATATTAAACTCATTTTTAAGGACAGGAATAATCAGGTTTTAGAAAAGTATAAGTCTCGTAGTGGATTAGTGGTTCAAGATCAGTGGTTTCTGATCTTTCATTACGAACTATGCTTCAATGAGTACTCTTCCAAAGGAAGTCCAGACTTCACTATATAATGGAAACATACGTTTATGTCAGTTTTTATATTACTACTGACTTCAATTCTCAGTTATTCAAAACCATAATCTGTTCACTTTCTGAACTTTTAAGGAGGGATTACTGAGGGCTATAAAATACTGCCTGACAGGGAGATCTTATAAACTAAGAATTCCTAAATCGAATTTAAAAGAAAACTCTCTAGTGTGCTTAAAAGGACAATGGTTTCAGTCTATCAAACACTAGGAAAACATGGATTAGAAGAAGAGCTAGTAAATGTTAGAAATTAGACGAGGAAGAGTAACCGAAGGTTTTCTAGCCGTAACAAAAAGAAAAAGCTCAACAAAGCAAAAATCAAGGAAAAAAGTGTATACGTTTCAGTAATATTGCATTGCAATACTGCTGAAAAGTCAAATTCAGTGTGAAAATGTAGCAAAAAGTGAATAAAATGGCAAAGTAAATAGAGATGGGAGCAACTTCTTTGTAGGGAAAATTTAGGATGGGAAGATAAAAGACAAAATGAGAAAATAAACAAGAACCATATTCTTGACAGAATTCAGAATACAAGTCTTCCTTTATTTTTAACAGGCAATACAAGAACAACTAAATGTTCCTATGTATATGACAAATGATAAACTTAAGCATTTTGTTTTTAAATTTTTTTAATGTTTATTTATTTTTGAAAGAGAGAGACAGACAGAGAACAAACACGAGTGGGGAAGGGGCAGAGAGAGAGGGAGACACAGAATCTAAAGCAGGATCCGGGCCCCAAGCTGTAAGCAGAGAGTCTGACACGGGTCTCGAACTTAACCGCGAGATTATGATCTGAGCCAAAGTCAGACGCTTAACCGACTGAGCCACCCAGGCACCCCAAGCATTTTGTGAATTTAAACAAAAATATTGGATAACACATAAATAAGTTAAATAATTTTTTCAATGAAGAAATATTAGAACTTTTCAATGTCTTTATGTCTTGGAGAAGGATGTTAAAATTTTTCCTTGCACAACACACACGAGGAAGATGTCCCACAAAGAACACGCTCGGGGACATTCACCCTCAGCGCCAGACATGCTTTTCAAAGCTCCACTCTAACTGCCATGCTGTTATTGACCCTGGAAAGCATAACGAAGTACAACTTAACTGATCTGATCCAGAATCACATGGCTTATAATATGAACATAATCCATGTTTAACAAGCCATAATGACATTAATCATCACAGCTAGTTATTTTTAAAAAAAAAGTGAAAGAGGGGCGCCTGGGTGGCGCAGTCAGTTAAGCGTCCGACTTCAGCCAGGTCACGATCTCGCAGTCCGTGAGTTCGAGCCCCACGTCGGGCTCTGGGCTGATGGCTCAGAGCCTGGAGCCTGTTTCTGATTCTGTGTCTCCCTCTCTCTCTGTCCCTCCCCCGTTCATGCTCTGTCTCTCTCTGTCCCAAAAATAAATAAACGTTGAAAAAAAAAAATTTTTAAAAAAAAATTAAAAAAAGTGAAAGAGAGATGAATAAGGGCAGCAAACTTATAAAAGACAATTCTCCCAGGAGGAGAGTTCAAATCACCTTTATTTCTGATTATTATATATATTATATATATACAATATATACATAATAAAAATTATACGTGTAATTTTTAAACACTAATTTTATGAAGTAATGCCATTTACTGCAAGACTTTGAAATGGCTGTAGAAACCTAAAGATAGTTATGTACAAGGAAAAAAATGTGTATTTTAGAGGTTGGTTTGAAGCTTGAAAGTTGCTAAGTTTTATATGTCCAGCTCAGAAATCTATAAATGCATCATCATGAAAGGCACGTATGTTAACTTCTTTGTTCATTAAAACTTAATGAAATCTGTTTTATCTAGTAAAATTTGTGATAAAACATTCGACTGAACTTTACACTTAGGAACTAATAAACAGCTGCTGGTGGTGCTCTTTCCTGTGGCAAAAGACCAGCTAGCCACGACTTCTAGAAAACTGACATGTCTTTTGGACACTTCAAGTCCTTAATTAACTTCCATTCTGGTGACATTTTTACTTTTCAAGCCAATTATCTACTGTTAAATGCCATAAGGCAAATTGCGTTAAGACTGATAAAATTCCTACCTAATAAAATGTGAATATTTGCTCAGTGTATAACTATAGTTATGGCTATAGTAATCATAATTGGCTATATAAGTATATCCTGTAATAATAACTTAATTCAGAATAAAAAACGTGTATTTTTTTCTCATTTAATTTATAGTACAGTTTAAGATAGTATCAAACATTAAAATCGAACCAAGTACAGATACAAAAGACACAACTTGGCACAAGTTCCTTAGAGAAAACTGGAACTGAATTCTGCCCTTATTAAGATAAGCCAGACAAATTCATTAAATGGCTTTATTATAAATGAAACAGCAGGGGCGCCTGGGTGGCTCAATAGGTGAAACTCTAACTTTGGCTCAGGTCATGACCTCGGGGTTGGTGAGTTCAAGCCCTGCATCGGGCTCTGTGTTGACAGCTTAGAGCCTGGAGCCCTGCTTCACATTCTTTGTCTCCCTCTCTCTCTGCCCCTACCCTGGTCACACTCTTCCCGCTCTGTCACTCAAAAACAAATAAACATTAAAAAACAAAAACAAAAACAAAAACAAAAAAACTAAAACAGCCTATGTGTATATGAAAATTCACATGTGTATATGAGAATAAGTATATATACAATGTCATAGATGTATTAATAATATACACATCCATACCTACCTATTGATTTGAGCATTTAAAACAGAAAATCATTACAAGACTATTTTGAGCACTCACAAGCTTAACAAAATGGACGTGGACCTAAGCTTTCTGACTCGGAAGCTTACGCTCATAGCACAAAACCAATGTTTAGTCTCCATTAAACTCATCAAAAATGTTAACATCCTCAGTCTTTTAGAAAACATATGAAGACATGGCAGTACCAAAACCAGAAACACTGGTAGAAAAATATTTCAGGCTAATGGAAAATTTCCCAGCAAATGTTTAGAAATTGCTAAAGACTAAAAACACAACAGCACCATCATATATCAGCTGGGAGACTATCTTTACATAGGTCTTGCCCTCAGATCCTGAGAGAATAGTCTTTGTCAGAGAAAAAGACTTTGATATGCACTGATCTGTAAGGAGGAAAAAAAAAAAGGAGGAGGAGGAGGAAGGAAGGGAAAGAAAGAAAGAGAGAGAGAGAGAGAGAGAGAGAGAGAGAAAGAAAGAAAGAAAGAAAGAAAGAAAGAAAGAAAGAAAGAAAGAAAGAAAGAAAGAAAGAGAAACAGAAATAGAGAATGGGAGAGGTTTATCAGATTAAAGAAAGATCAGCTCCCTTGAAGGCCTCTTCATTCTCAACCTTCACTTTTTTGTCATATCCTTATCTCTTCCACTAGCATTGAATTCTATCAGGTGATATGAAAGTCTAATAAGAGCAATATAATTATACAGTATACACTGAAATAATTCTATGATTTTCCTTAACAATACCTGAATACATTTTCTCTTGGAAACTATTTTCCAAACCTGTATATAATATGCTTCCTAGACTGTATGTTAATTGCAGAGGAAAAATATAAGTTTTCTGAAATATTTGATTGCAAAGAATTTTCTTTAATAGCTTTG